GGATTTCCTCTTATTCCTGAGGAATTCAGGGGTAAAATCTGAAATCAGGGATAACTCCAGGTGCTGGAATCCTATGGAAAAGTGCCTGAGACAGGAAAAAAAAACCTCAAAATTTGTAATTAGGGATAATTCCAGGTGGTTTAATTATAGGGAAAAGTGTCTGAGACAGGGAAAATTTGGGATTTGGGAGCCCAAAGCTGCTTTATCTCTCATCTCTCCCACCCCTGCTCCCAAACTCAGGTTTAAACCAAAGTTTTTGTGTTGTTAAACTGGTTTTGTATCAATTCTCCCCCTTTAAACCCAGCTTTAGGCCTCACTGGGGTCCTTAGACCCCATATCTGACCCCAAATTGGGTTTTAAACCAAATCTTGTATATTTTGAACTGTTTCTGTATCAATTCTTCCCCTTTAAATCTGACTTTTAAGCCTCCCTGGGGTCCTTAGGCTGGGTTAGGCCCCATTCCTGACCCCAAATTGGGTTTTAAACCAAATCTTGTATATTTTGAACTGTTTCTGTACCAATTCTCCCCCTTAAAATCCAACTTTAAGTCTCAGTGGGGTCCTTAGGCCCCATCCCTGACCCTAAATTGAGTTTTAAACCAAATCTTTCACATTTTGAACTGTTTCTGCACCACTTTTCCCCCTCTAAACCCGACTTTAAGCCTCCCTGGGGTCCTTAGGCTGGGTTAGGCCCCCTCCCTCCTCCCCAGACTCCCATCTAAACGGAACTTTTTGTGTTTTGAACTGTTTCTGTACCACTTCTCCCCCTTGAAGCCCGGCTCGAGGCCTCCCGGGGGCGCTTGGGCCGGGCTTGGCTGGGCGGGGCTGAGGCGGGCCCAGGACTAATCCCTGCCCAAAGTTTCCCCCCCAGCCGAGCTGGAGACGCGGCGCTCGGCCGAGAAACTGGCGCAGATGGTGGCGGCGGGGGGGCCCGAGGTGGAGGCCATCGCCCTGCAGAACAACAGGGAGAACCCCGCCTTCAGGTAGGGAACAGTTCCCGGCTCCTGGGGGGATTTTCCTGGGAATAATTCCCAGGGAATTCCCAGGGAAAAGCGTGGGAATACTGGGGTTGAGGTTTTGGGGCAGTGAGAGTTGGGGGGCTCAGGTTTGGGGTGCAGAGAGGGATGAGGTGGGAGCAGAACGACAGGGAGATCCCCGCCTTCAGGTAGGGAACAATTCCCGGCTCCTGGGGGGGATTTTCCTGGGAATTCCCAGGGAATAATTCCCTGGGAAAAGCGTGGGAATACTGGGGTTGAGGTTTTAGGGTGGTGAGAGTTGTGGGGCTCAGGTTTGGGGTGCAGAGGGGGATGAGAACGACAGGGAGAACCCCACCCTCAGGTAGGGAACAGTTCCCGGCTCCTGGGGGGGATTTTCCTGGGAAGAATTCCCAGGGAATTCACAAGGAAAAGCAGCCCCAAGAATCCGGAATTTTCCCTGGGATCTCCCTGCTGTTCTCAGCCCCCCCAACTCTCACCTCGCTAAAACCACACTATCCTTGGAANCCCGTGTGCTTCCCGCCCCTCCCCATCCCCATCCCGCCGCCTCTTCCCGCCGCTCTTCCCATTCCCTCGGCCTCTCCTGCCCCATCCTCATCCTCCACCTCCCCTCCGGATCCGCCGGCCCTGAATCCCGCTCCGATCCCAAATCCCGCTCCGATCCCAAATCCCGCTCCGATCACAAATCCGGCCATGACCCCGAATCCGGCCATGACCCCGAATCCAGCCATGACCCCAAATCTGGCCGCGATCCCGAATCCGCCTCCGATCCCGAATCCACCTCCGATCCCGAATCCGCCTCCGATCCCAAATCCGGCTGCGAGCCCCAATCCATGCTGGAGCCCCGGGGCCGGCGCGATCCCAAATCCCGGCGCGGGCGGCAGCAAGAGGAAGAGGAAGAGCCGCTGGGGGCCGGAGGAGGAGAAGGTGGAGCTGCCCCTGCCGCAGCTGGTGCAGCAGCTGGAGTCACCCACACCCCTCTCAGGTCAGGATTCCCGGGAATTCTGTGTGTCCGGGGGATTGGGATTGCCCGGGAATTCCTGGGAATTCTGGGTATCTGGGGGATTGGGATTGCCTGGGAATTCTGCGTATCCAGGGGATTGGGATTTCCTGGGAATTCTGTGTATCCAGGGGATTGGGATTGCCTGGGAATTCCTGGGAATTCTGTGTATCCAGAAGATTGGGATTTCCTGGGAATTCCATGTATCCAAGGGATTGGTGTCCCAGGATTGGGTTTTCCTGGGAATTTTGTGTGGCTCCAGAGCAGTTTTTCATTCCCTGAGCTGCACATGGATCAAGTTTTCCAAGGAATCTCTGCAGTCCATCCTGTTTTTTCCCAGTGGTTTTATTTTCCCTTCTCTCTGCGGGAATTACAAACAGAATTCCTTTTATTTTTTTTCACTTTTCCCACCTTTTTATTCCCTTTAATTCCCTCTCTGAACCCAGGATCACCTTTTCCATCCTGGGAATATCCCATTCCTGATCCAACAGCCAGCAGAATTCCAAGGGAGGGATTCCTGAACCAGAATTTCCCTTGGGAATTGCAGCTCCCAGGGGCAGGAAAACGCTCCTGGATTTCTTTTCCTGGCTTTTTTTTGGGGATAAATCTGCTGTGGAGACTCCTGGAAACTCGGGAATGGCTCCTGGATAATGAATTCCCACTTTTTGGGCTGGCTGGGATTCACCTGAGGAGGGAATTCCTAAGGGAAAAACGGGATTTTGTCATCCTTGGGAATTTCCACACAAAATCTGGGATCAATTCCCAGTTTTTGGGGCTGGCTGGGATTCATCTGAGGAGGGAATTCCTGAGGAAAAATGGGATTTTGTGAGCCCTGGGAACCTCCACACAAAACCTGGGATCGGGAATTCCCAGGGCAGGCACGGAAGGAGCTGCTTCCCGCTCCTGTGATTCCCTGAAGTCCTGAAGCACCGGAATTCCCAACATTTCCTGGGAATTCCATCCTTGGAATCCTCCACAGCCGGGCTGGGCGAAGGGAGGGAGGAAGGGGATGATCCCAGAGGTGGGATTGGGTTTTTCCCAAGGTTTTTTCCCTGTTTTTCCCTGCAGTTCAGGACCTGAAGGGGCTGGGATACGAGAAGGGCAAACCCGTGGGATTGGTGGGAGTCACGGAGCTCTCCGAGGCCCAGAAGAAGCAGCTGAAGGAGCAGCAGGAGGTGATTCCCAAAAATCCTCCCCCAGGGAATGATTCCCATCCTGGGATCCCTGGGAACAGCGGGAAGAGCGGAGGGTTTGGGGAATAAGGAGCTTTCCAGCCCCAAAATCCCAAATCCCAGCCCTGAAATCCCAAATCCCGGCCCTGAAATCCCAAATCCCGGCCCCAAAATCCCGGCCCCGAAATCCCAAATCCCAGCCCCGAAATCCCAAATCCAGGCCCTGAAATCCCAAATCCCAAAGGAGCTTTCTGGCCCGCTGCCATTCCCATGCCATTCCCGCTGCCATTCCCATTGAGATTCCCGCCGTTCCCATTGGGATTCCTGCTGCCATTCCCGTGCCATTCCCATTGGGATTCCCATTCCCACACCATTCCCATTGGGAATGCCATTCCTGCACCATTCCCATTGGGATTCCTGTTGCCGTTTCCGTGCCATTCCCACTGGGAATGCCATTTCCACACCGTTCCCATTGGGATTCCCGTTCCCACTGGGTTTCCCATTCCCATTCCCGTTGGGATTCCTGTTCCCATTGTGATTCCCGTTCCCGTTGGGATTCCCGTTTCCGTTGGGATTCCCGTTCCCGTTGGGATTCCCATTCCCATTGGGATTCCCATTCCCATTCCCGTTGGGATTCCCGTTCCCGTTGGGATTCCCGTTTCCGTTGGGATTCCCGTTCCCATTGTGATTCCCGTTCCCGTTGGGATTCCCATTCCCATTGGGATTCCCGTTCCCGTTGGGATTCCCATTCCCGTTCCCGTTGGGATTCCCGTTCCCACTGGGTTTCCCATTCCCGTTCCCGTTGGGATTCCTGTTCCCGTTGGCATTCCCGTTCCCATTGGGATTCCCGTTCCCGTTCCCGTTGGGATTCCCGTTCCCGTTGGGATTCCCATTCCCGTTCCCGTTGGGATTCCCGTTCCCGTTGGGATTCCCGTTCCCGTTGGGATTCCCGTTCCCGTTGGGATTTTCGTTCCCGTTGGGATTCCCATTCCCGTTCCCATTCCCATTCCCGTTCCTGTTGGGATTCCCATTCCCGTTGGGATTCCCATTCCCGTTCCCGTTGGGATTCCCGTTCCCATTGTGATTCCCATTCCCATTGTGATTCCCATTCCCATTGTGATTCCCATTCCCGTTCCCATTGGGATTCCCGTTCCCGTTGGGATTCCCATTCCCGTTCCCGTTGGGATTCCCGTTCCCGTTGGGATTCCCATTCCCGTTCCCATTGTGATTCCCGTTCCCGTTGGGTTTCCCATTCCCGTTCCCATTGTGATTCCCATTCCTGTTCCCGTTGGGATTTTCGTTCCCGTTGGGATTCCCGTTCCCGTTGGGATTCCCGTTCCTGTTCCCATTGTGATTCCCGTTCCCGTTGGGATTCCCATGGCGCAGATGCAGCAGATGTACGACATGATCATGCGGCACAAGCGGGCGATGCAGGAGATGCAGCTGCTGTGGGAGCGGGCGCTGCAGCAGCACCAGCACGGCTACGACAGCGACGAGGAGGTGGACAGCGAGCTGGGAACCTGGGAACACCGCCTGCGGCGCATGGAGATGGACAAAACCCGCGGTGGGAACAACAACGGGAATTCTGGGAGACGGGATGGGTGAAACCCGCGGTGGGAACAACAACGGGAATTCCCTGTGGGAGAGGGGAGGGACAGAACCCGCGGTGGGAACAACAACGGGAATTCTGGGAGAGGGGATGGGTGAAACCCGCGGTGGGAACAACAACGGGAATTCCCTGTGGGAGAGGGGAGGGACAGAACCCACGGTGGGAACAACAACGGGAATTCCAGGACAGGGGAGGGACAGAACCCGCGGTGGGAATAATGGGAATTCCCTGTGGGAGAGGGAAGGGACAGAACCCACCTTGGGAATAACAACGGGAATTCCGGGAGAGGGGAGGAACAGAACCCGCAGTGGGAACAACGGGAATTCCAGGAGAGGGGAGGGACAGAACTCACAGTGGGAATAACAACGGGAATTCCCAGTGGGAGAGGGGATGGGTGAAACCCGCAGTGGGAATAATGGGAATTCCTAATGGGGATGGGCAGAACCCACAGTGGGAATTACGGGAATTCCCAGTGGGAGAGGGGATGGGTGAAACCCATGGTGGGAATGCTGGGAATTCCCAGTGGGAGAGGGAAGGGACAGAACCCACTGTGGGATCCCAATCCATGGGAATTCCAGCAGGGGGTGGGACTGGCATTCCACAGGGAATTCCAGCCTTGAGTATTCCAGAGAATTCCAGCTCTAGGGAGATGGGCAAGACTCGGGGTGGGATCCCATTCCAGAGGGGGAATCCCACCCCAGAGCATTCCAGAGGGGGAATCCCACCCCAGAGCATTCCAGAGGGGGAATCCCACCCCAGAGCATTCCAGAGTGGGAATCCCACCCCAGAACATTCCAGAGGGGGAATCCCACCCTAGAACATTCCAGAGGGGGAATCCCACCCCAGAACATTCCAGAGGGGGAATCCCACCCAGAGCATTCCAGAGGGGGAATCCCACCCCAGAGCATTCCAGAGGGGGAATCCCACCCCAGAACATTCCAGAGGGGGAATCCCACCCCAGAACATTCCAGAGGGGGAATCCCACCCCAGTCCCGTTGGAGCGGGCTCTGCAGGGACGATCCCTCCCGATCCCTCCCCAAATCCCAAGGGATTCTCGGCGAGCTCGGGCTTTTCCCGCTTTTCCAGAGTGGGCGGAGCAGCTGACGCAGATGGGCCGAGGGAAACATTTCATCGGAGATTTCCTCCCTCCGGACGAGCTGGAAAAATTCATGGAGACCTTCAAGGCGCTCAAGGTGGGGATTTCTGGGATTCTGGGAATGCTCTCCTTGCTCCGGGCAGGAAAACAGGGAGCGATTCCCGCTCTGTTTGGGAAAAATTCCATCCCTGTGAGGGAATTCCGGAAGGATCCGTGGTTGTCCCGTCCCTGGGAGTGTCCAAGGAGAGTTTGGAGCGGTCTGGGATCGTGGGAAGCGTCCCTGCCCAAGGGGCCGGATGGGATTGAAGGATCCTTTCCACTCTGGAATTCCACGGATCGGGATTTCCCTGGAATTCCAGGCACAGCTCCCTCTCGGTTCCGGGATCACTGGGCTCCAAGCTGGGAAAAAAACAGGAATTTTTCTCCAGCTGATTGCAGGGAAACCCCAACCCCCACAACTCCAACACCTCCCAGTCCTTCCCAAAGCCTGGAATTCCGGGAAGCTGCCTCATCCCTGTTTTCCAGCCTGCCATTCAGCCTCAAAACCACAACCAGATCCAGGGAACAACCTGGAATTCCAGAGCCGTTATTGGATCCTCCTCAGGGCTGGAATCCCGGGAAATCCTGGCAGTTCTTTCCCAAAAATCCCCATTTTTTGGGGGGGGGGTGGAGCTGCTTTTGCCCCTTTTCCTGCGATCCGTGGGATTGAAAAATCCCGTTTTTCCCGCCGCAGGAGGGCCGGGAGCCGGATTATTCCGAGTACAAGGAATTCAAGCTGACGGTGGAAAACATCGGATACCAAATGCTGATGAAAATGGGATGGAAGGAAGGAGAGGGATTGGGATCCGACGGGCAGGGAATTAAAAATCCCGTCAGCAAGTGAGTCTTCCTTGGGATCATTCCTCCCTTTTTTCCGGGAATTCCTCCTGGAATTCGCTGCTTGGCTGGGATTTCTCAACCGAGCGTGGAAAATTTAGCCCGGGAGAAAAAAAACTCCTGGTTTTTCAGGGAATTTTCTCCTGGATTTGTGGCTGTGGCTGGAGTTGTCTGAGCTCCCGGATCCTGAATTTCCAGCCCAGATTTCCATAGGGAAGCGCAGCTCCAGGAATTCCTGTCTGCACCTCCCCTTTCCCATGATGGAATCTTTCAAATCAGAGATGCTCTGGAATTTGGGGATGAGATCAATCCCTGTTTCCATCCAAATTCCCGGGAATTTGGGGATGAGATCAATCCCTGTTTCCGTCCAAATTCCCGGGAATTTGGGGATAAAACCAATTCCTGCTTCCATCCAAATTTCTGGGAATTTGGGGATGAGACCAATTCCTGTTTCCATCCAAATTCCCGGGAATTTGGGGATGAGATCAATCCCTGCTTCCATCCAAATTCCCAGGAATTTGGGGATAAAACCAATTCCTGCTTCCACCCAAATTTCTGGGAATTTGGGGATGAGATCAATTCCTGTTTCCATCCAAATTCCCAAGGATTTGGGGATAAAACCAATTCTTGCTTCCATCCAAATTTCTGGGAATTTGGGGATGAGACCAATCCCTGTTTCCATCCAAATTTCTGGGAATTTGGGGATGAGACCAATCCCTGTTTCCATCCAAATTCCCGGGAATTTGGGGATGAGACCAATCCCTGCTTCCATCCAAATTCCCTGGATTCTGGGGATGAAATCACTCCCTGTTCCCCCCAAAGCGTGGGGATTTGGGAAGGGCTCCGGGGGCCGTTCCCGTGGGAACCGCGGGCTCCGGAGCCGTGGCATTCCCGCTGTTCCCGCAGGGGCACCACGGCCACGGACGGGGCGGGATTCGGGATCGAGCGCCCGGCCGAGCTCACCAAGGAGGACGACGAGTACGAGGCGTTCCGCAAGCGCATGATGCTGGCGTACCGCTTCCGGCCTAATCCGCTGGTACGGGATAACAGCGGGATAACAACGGGATAATGGGATAACGGGATAACGGGAATGGGATAACGGGAATGGTGTACCGCTTCCGGCCTAATCCGCTGGTACGGGATAACAGCGGGATAACGGGAATGGGATAATGGGATAACGGGATAACGGGAATGGGATAACGGGAATGGGATAACGGGAATGGGATAACAGGATAATGGGAATGGGAATGGGATAACGGGAATGGTGTACCGCTTCCGGCCCAACCCGCTGGTACGGGATAACAGCGGGATAACGGGATAACGGGAATGGGAACGGGATAACGGGAATGGGATAACGGGATAACGGGAATGGGATAACGGGATAACGGGAATGGCGTACCGCTTCCGGCCCAACCCGCTGGTACGGGATAACGGGAATGGGATAATGGGATAACGGGAACAGGAATGGGATAATGGGATAACGGGATAACGGGAATGGTGTACCGCTTCCGGCCCAACCCGCTGGTACGGGATAACAGCGGGATAACAACGGGATAACGGGAATGGGATAACGGGAATGGGATAACAGGATAACGGGAATGGGGGAATGGGATAACGGGAATGGGAATGGGATAACGGGAATGGCGTACCGCTTCCGGCCCAACCTGCTAGTACGGGATAACGGGAATGGGATAACGGGAATGGGATAACGGGAATGGGATAACAGGATAATGGGAATGGGAATGGGATAACGGGAATGGTGTACCGCTTCCGGCCCAACCCGCTGGTACGGGATAACGGGAATGGGAACGGGATAACGGGAATGGGATAACGGGATAACGGGAATGGGGGAATGGGATAACAGGAATGGGAATGGGATAACGGGAATGGGAATGGGATAACGGGAATGGGAATGGGATAACGGGAATGGCGTACCGCTTCCGGCCTAATCCGCTGGTACGGGATAACGGGAATGGGATAACGGGATAACGGGAATGGGATAACGGGATAACGGGAATGGCGTACCGCTTCCGGCCCAACCCGCTGGTACGGGATAACAGCGGGATAACGGGATAACGGGAATGGGAACGGGATAACGGGAATGGGGGAACGGGAATGGGATAATGGGATAACGGGATAACGGGAATGGGATAACGGGAATGGGATAACGGGAATGGGATAACAGGATAATGGGAATGGGAATGGGATAACGGGAATGGTGTACCGCTTCCGGCCCAACCCGCTGGTACGGGATAACGGGAATGGGATAACGGGATAACGGGAATGGGAACGGGATAACGGGAATGGCGTACCGCTTCCGGCCTAATCCGCTGGTACGGGATAACGGGAATGGGATAATGGGATAACGGGAATGGGATAACGGGAATGGGATAACGGGAATGGGATAACAACGGGATAATGGGAATGGCGTACCGCTTCCGGCCTAATCCGCTGGTACGGGATAACAGCGGGATAACGGGAATGGGAACGGGATAACGGGAATGGGATAACGGGAATGGCGTACCGCTTCCGGCCTAATCCGCTGGTACGGGATAACGGGAATGGGATAACGGGAATGGGATAATGGGATAACGGGAATGGCGTACCGCTTCCGGCCCAACCCGCTGGTACGGGATAACAGCGGGATAACAACGGGATAACGGGAATGGGATAACGGGAACAGGATAACAGGAACGGGATAATGGGAATGGGATAACGGGAATGGGATAATGGGATAACGGGAACGGGATAACGGGAACGGGATAACGGGAATGGGATAACAGGATAATGGGAATGGGAATGGGATAACAGGAATGGCGTACCGCTTCCGGCCCAACCCGCTGGTACGGGATAACGGGAATGGGATAATGGGATAACGAACGGAATGGGAATGGGATAACGGGAATGGCGTACCGCTTCCGGCCTAATCCGCTGGTACGGGATAACGGGAATGGGATAATGGGATAACGGGAATGGGATAACGGGAATGGGATAACGGGAATGGGATAACAACGGGATAATGGGAATGGCGTACCGCTTCCGGCCTAATCCGCTGGTACGGGATAACAGCGGGATAACGGGAATGGGATAACGGGATAACGGGAATGGGATAACGGGATAACGGGAATGGCGTACCGCTTCCGGCCCAACCCGCTGGTACGGGATAACGGGAATGGGATAACGGGATAACGGGAACGGCGTACCGCTTCCGGCCTAATCCGCTGGTATGGGATAACGGGATTGGGATAATGGGATAACGAGAATGGGATAACGGGATAACGGGAATGGGATAATGGGATAACGGGAACAGGAATGGGATAACGGGATAACGGGAATGGCGTACCGCTTCCGGCCTAATCCACTGGTATGGGATAACGGGAATGGGATAATGGGATAATGGGAATGGGAACGGGATAACGGGAATGGGATAACGGGAATGGGATAATGGGAACGGGATAACGGGATAACGGGAACGGGATAACGGGAATGGCGTACCACTTCCGGCCCAACCCGCTGGTACGGGATAACAACGGGATAACAACGGGATAACGGGAATGGGATAACAACGGGATAACAATGGGATAATGGGAATGGGAATGGGATAACGGGAATGGAATAACGGGAATGGAATAACAGGAATGGAATAACGGGAATGGAATAACGGGAATGGGATCAGTGGTGGCCTGTCACTGCTGGATGGGATGGGATAGATCCAGTGGAGCTGGGAATGGGATTGGGAATGGGAACGGGAATGGGAGTGGGATTGGGAATGGGAATGGGAGTGGGAATGGGATTGGGAATGGGAATGGGAATGGGATTGGGATTGGGAATGGGAGTGGGAATGGGAAGGGGAATGGGAATGGGAATGGGATGGAGCCAGTGATGAGGGAGAGCCCCAGGAATGGGGCAGGGATGGATCCCCTGGAATGGGAGTGCCCCAAACCCCCCCAGGCACAGGGACAAATCCCTGGAATCTCCAGTAGCTCTGGGAATTCCGGGAATGTTTGCACTTGGAAAATTCCTCTCCTCACCCTCCCAGAATTCCCTGGATGCACAATTCCCCTTCCCATTTTCATCCAAATCCCAATTTCATCCCAATTAAACCCCTGCCAAGGAAAACTCCTCCACAAATCCCAGGATTTCTTTGGAATCACCATTTTCCAGGGGGCAAAAAAACCCCAAACTTGGATTTTTGGGATGAAATTCCCCAATCCTGATGATTTTTCCGTTGTTTTTTTTGGTTTTTTTTCTCCCCACAGAACAACCCACGGCGACCTTACTACTGAGGAGGGCTTTTCCCAACAGATTTCCCGGGAATTCTTATCCCAAACTTCATTCTCCATCTCTTTCCCCTCAATATTTCCTGGTTTTTTTTCTTTGGAATCACAGCTCCTCCTTCCCCCATGGAAAAACTTCCCTGGTTTTTTTTTTCCTTGAAAAAAGGAAAAGTTCGGAGCAGCCCCAAAAAAATCCCCCAGGAGGCTCCAATTCCAAGGAATTTGGGGATTTTTGGGAATCCAACAATGCTGCTCCAGGAAGGGGGGGAGGGGTGGGGGTGTGTGTATGGGGGTTGATTTTATTCCTTGATTTTATCTGGGAATCCCAAATCCAAGAGAATTTGGGGAATTTGGGGAAGCAGTGCCTCCAGTTTTGCCTCGGGATCTGAGCCGGATCCATCGGGAATTCCAGGATTTCAGGGATCTGGGATGGGATTCCTTCCCTTTCCCGGGGATTTCGCCAACACCTCCTGCGCTTTGGGATGAGCGAGACCCAAAATTCCAAAGCCAAACTTTGGGAAAAATAAAATAAAAAACACAAAATCCAACAAAATTCCAGCGCCACGTTCGGGGGAAAATTAAAAAAATCCCGTTGGATTTTATTGCCCTAAAATGGGGGAAAAAACCCCCCAAAAAAAAAAAAAAAAACCCTCTGGAAATACAAATTTTCAATTTTCTTCACGGAATCTGTAAATAAAATCCGATTTGTTTGTTCCTTAGGTTTAATCCTTGGAATTTTTTTGGGAAGAGAGGGATTTTTTTATAGTGGGAGGTTGCCCTGGAGCTCGGTTTTTCCGTGGATTTTTTTGGGGGGGGAAAAAGTTGGATTTGGTTCCTTTTATTTTTTTTTGGAGGGGGGTGGGGTGATGTTTTCCTGGGAAAAATCCAAATTCTGGGAAAATTGGGAAATGCTGATGAAAATCCCGGCAGTTTTCCAGGGAATGAGGTCACCCTTGGATCCCCATTCCCACCCAAATCCTGCTTTTCCCGGGAATTCGGAGCCTGAGGCTCCCCAGGATTTAAGGAAAGGAATTTTGGGAGCTTTGGAAAATCCCTTTTATTCCAAGGGATTCTGGGGGCATGGAAATGTGGGAATTCCGGCTGTTCCCAGTGGGAATTCCAAGCTGAAGGGCCACCACAGCCATCCCTGGATATTCCATGGATATCCCACTGCCAAAATTCCCTTTTTTCCCCCTTTTTTCCCCCTTTTTTCCCCCTTTTTTTCCCCCTTTTTTTCCCCCTTTTTTTCCCCCTTTTTTCCCCCTTTTTTCTCCTTTTTTCCCCCTTTTTTCCCCTTTTTTTCCCCTTTTTCCCCATTTTTTCCCCCTTTTTTTCCCCTTTTTTCCCCCCTTTTTCCCCATTTTCCCCCCTTTTTCCCCATTTTTCCCCCCATTTTCCCCCTTTTTCCCTTTTTTCCCTTTTCCCCCCTTTTTCCCCACCCCA